GTCACCTCAGTCACCTCAGTCACCTCAGTCACTCGCCTCAGTCACCTGCTCAGTCACCAAGCCTCCCTCCTCTCTGAAGTTTCCAGAGAGCTGACCTGAAACCAGGCACACCGTGACAGGGTGTTGAGAACTGGTCAGAGCCAAGAGAAGTTCCCGAGAGCGCTCAGTCACAAGCGGATGTCCACAGTCCCTCCAAAAGCTCGGAGCTGCTGGTGGGATGGGGTGGAAAGCCCCAATGTGGTGACAATCTCGCCTTCTTTAAAGGCCAGTTATGTCACGTGAACGCTTTGCCTTGACCCCAGCTGTGGGGTTCGAGGCTGCTTCAGCTTGTCCACAGCAGCTGACTATAACGTGTGCTCGGGCAGGGGCGTGACTCCAGCCAACTGCAGCCAGGTAAATTCTGGGAACTCTTGACAGGGCCTGCGGCAGCTGCTGTGTTTGCTGTGTTCGCTGCTGTGTTCGCTGTTTGCTGTTTGGTGGATTCCAGGGGTGGGCAGCAAAAAGGAGAAACCCTTCATTATCTCAGAAACAACAGTAAAGACAAACAACCCCAAACCCACAATACAATCAAATCAGAACCGTCCCCCTGTGCCTGTGGCCCTTTACTCTCCCAAGTGCCGGCGTCTCCGTGCCTCACCCAGGAAGGGTGTGGAGCAGGGTCAGGCGGGACGTGCTCCCTTCAACTGCAGAACTCAATTCGCGCCGTGGCCGTGGCCACAGCTGACCAAGACCCTCACGGCAGCTGCCTTCCTGGAGACTGGGTTGGGACCCAGAGTGACGCCCCTGTGAGCAGAGCTCAGGCCTGCTGAAGCCACGCTTGGTAACTCCCTCGCGCTCTCCATGTGTACCTACTCAGCGATAGATACAGTTCTGAACATGTAATTGTACCGAATATAATTGTATCTTCACTTTTAAAGAATTGTGTAAACTTTATAAAATTCCCGCTGGCCTGCAGCTCGCAGAGCTCGAGGGCCTCTGGGCTGTTGCTGTGGAGCAGGCTGGCGAGGCTGAGAGCTGGCGTCACAGCCACGCCCGCCTTCTGTAGCTGTGTGACTGTGGGACCCTGAAGTCGCCCGAACCGCCGCCTCGCCCAGAAAAGGTGTCGGAGACAACACGCCACGCGGGGCTCCTCTTCTGCACCGAGCCCCATCTCACGGCTCGGAGCACGCAAATCCCAGATGTGGGTAGGTGAAATGGTTTGGGGGGAAAGTGCTCCACCAAGCCCAATGACTGAGTTCTATCCCCGGGACCACATGGTGAAGGAGGACACTCATTTCTGAACGCCGTCCTTGGACTCTGACCCCTGCCCCATGCCACACACACAGACACAGACACACAGACACTCACTCTCTCTCTTCCTAACAAGTCACCAATTTTATTGTCTGTGAATACAGATGCGGCCTCTCTCCCCTTCACCCCCACTCTTGGACTGGTGGTGGGCAGATTGGAGGCCCCACCCGGCAGCACCCCCTCACGGGAAGTGGGCGAGGGCCAGCAGCACCGCCGGCAGCAGGAGCTCCAGCGCCCACAGCGAAGCGTGCCCCCAGGGGCCCCCGCTCTCTGCCTGTCGGGGCTGAAGGACTGGGCGGTAGCCACAGCTCTCCTTCACGGTCAGGGGTCCCACTGAGTTCAGGGTGGCCAGCAGTCTGCAGCCGACGACGGTGGTGCAGCCCTTGACCTCCACAGCGGTGGACTCCAGGCCTCCTAGGAGCCAGGAGGGAACGGAGAGGGTTAGGGGACGGAGCCCAGCATGCCTCTCCCCTGCAGCCCGAGGGGCCTTTACCTCCGGAGAAGTCAAGTCTTCCTTGGTAGCACTGAGTCGTGCCATTGGCACAGGGCAGAGAGGGGGCACTGGTACAGGACCCCAGAGCCACACAAGTTGGGCAGCGGAGGGCTCCGGGCGGACGGGCGGTCGCTGCGTGGGGAGAAAGCAGAGGGTCAGGCAGCCAGCGCCCGGAGCCGCCTCTGGGCGGCCCCCGCCCTGCTAACCAGCCGGGCACTGAGACCACACCCTTTAACGGACCTTCCCCTCATCACAGTCCCAGCCACCGGTGCGGCAGGGGTGCAAGCCTGCAGCCCCGAGTTCGGTTCTCGGCACCATCCAAAGGGGAAGCAGAGAGCCAACTCCCAAAGCTGTCTTGACTACGCACGTACGCACGCGCGCATGCACACACACACACACACACACACACACACACACACACAGTAATAAAGAAACCCCAGCGACCACGTGACCTCCAGTCTGCTTAGACGTGGTGACCACGGAAAGGACAGTTCCAGCAGCAAGATTTTCGGACAGTCGGCGATATCGCAACTCAAGGCCTGCGTCCACACTGCGGTCAAGGAGACGGAGGGCGCCCAGCTAGCTAGGATGACGGAGCGTCTGGAGGAGCTGCGTGTGAGCGCGCTGAGAGAGAGGTGCTGTCGGCTGGGGGCGCAGGAAGGCATGAAGGGCCCCACTGTTTTCTTTTCAGACTGGCGCCAGTGCCTGTCGCATCGCATTTAAGAGCGTGCCTGCCGTGTGCACTCGCGCGGGCCTACACGGGCATGCGGGCGCCGTCACCCCCTCTGAGCAGGCTCTCTCACGGCTCTGGTGCCCACCGGTTAGGTCAGACCCCGTGAACCTCGGACCCTCCTCCCGTCTCGCCCCACCGCCGAGAGCTGGGTCACAAGCCCATGCCAGCACGCCTGGCATTCTCCTGTGGGTCCGACCTGTCTCTTCAGCCCCATCTACACTGCCAGCTACGTGCCCGGAGTCCAAGAAGCTTGGACTCCAAAGGCAAGAACTCAGAAAAGGAGCACGCGGCCTGCGGGCTCTCCTGCGTCTCGCTGAGGCACGCCGAGCGGAGGCGGGGAAGGCAGGCGGGGACCCTCCAGGTACCTGCGGCCCCCGGCTGATACCAGAAGGAGCGTACGCTCTCTTTGCTGTTGCAGAGGCTGTCGTTGCAGTAGTTGCTGTAGGAGACCACCACCAGCCCCGGAGGCGGCGGCGTGTACTGGATGAAGGTCATGGACTCCGTGCCTTGAGGGGTGCAGCCCTTACTGGCCAGAAGGGCAGTCTTGCCTCCGTCTGTGAAGCAGGAAGTGCAGAAGGTGGGTGACGGCTAACACTTAACAGGGAGACAGCAAAGAACGCGGCCACCCTCTCTCTCAAGCCCAAGGGCCCCTCCGCCCGGCTGTCTCCCCAGCTCTGGGACTGCAGGTCCACCACCGGGCCCACGCAGATGGCCACAGGGCCGTGGGCTCAGTGACAAATGTATCTCAGTGAGTGTGAGGGGAAAGAAGCGACAGTGACGCTGAGGAGACGGGCGCGGTCAGGCGGCTTCAGGCCTGGAGACCACCTGGACAGCCGGGGCTGCCACCCAGGACAGGACCTGAACAGCCACGGTGCACAGGCCCCTCACCAGCTTTGATTAACACCACGGTCTCCTGGCACAGCTCTCCAGGGAGGCACTGCTCGGCCTTCGAGGTCCAGTTAAAGGTTTGACTCGGATCGTCTTCTAAACTCAGGGCTGTGCCTACCTCACAGCGCAGATTTCGGACCACTGGGGAGACGAGATTAAAATAGACAAAGCATTGCCCGCCTCAGGGAGGCGGCCTTTTCCCTCCACGGATCCACCCTCCACGGACGGCTGTTTCTCTGTCCCCACACATACAAGTCCAGAGGGAGGCTCCCAGCAGAAAGAGCAGGAAACACCGAATGCAGCAGGCGCCCATGGCTTCTCTGAGGTTGGGAAGAGCTGACCAGGATCTGGAGCTGATGGACAACAGGACACAGCTGGACCTGACAGAGAGGGAGCACACGTCAGCTTTCTGCACGTGTCTTCTCTGGGCTAGACTTATGCTGTGCCACACCGCAAGGTCTGTCCCCAAGCAGCTGTGCGCTGAGAGCAGGCCACGGACTCCACGGGCTCACTGGGCCTCCACAGGATTTGGCTGTCTCTCTTGGCCTCTCAAGGCGGGAGGATGGGCCTGGGGCCCTCTGCTCAAAATCTAAGGTCAAACACACAGTGGAAACCTCTCCAGGGCTCAGCAGCCCCACAGAACCACAATTCTGGAGCCCTGTAAATGCTGGGGCCCTGTCCTGTCAGTGCTGGGGCCCTGTCCTGTCAGTGC